TGTATGTACATTGTAAATAAGCCATCTGTATGTCAAATATGTCTTATATGTCTTAATGACATGATGAATTGGAAATGGGGGACCCTGATGTAAACAAGACGAAAGTCTTTCTCTGGTCTGCATCCCCTTAACAATTGTATGTTTTGAGCTGTACTGTACTGTACCCAATATACAAGCTGTTAATAAACTTTTCAATTCAATCAATCAACGTTAATGAATGTTTAGAGTTAGGTTAGCATTTGAGCAATCGTAGCTCCATCTGTGCTAACGATGCTATGCGTTGCATCCAAGAGTGTAAAACATTAAGTGGGATGCTACTGTATACCAAAAGGCTTCTGTGCGAGGTTGCTAAAATAAGGTCATCCTTGTATGTTAGATAGTTAGTTTGCTAGTTAGGTTATTAGGTTAGTTAGGTTATGCATTGTTAAGGTTCATTTAAATTCGCTATGCTCTACTATAGCATCAAATAGACTAGCTAACTTCAACGTATTGTTGAAGAGAGGCTTAGTGTATATTAAATCAACCTCACAATGAAATGTGTGTATCTTTAAAATATGAACGTCACATTTCAAGATGGTCCAGAAATAATGCTCCCTTAGATATTGTAATATGGTTTGTTGAACTGGAGTTATTTATTGCAGCTAACCGCCTATCCGACGAACGACCCAAATATTGTCATTTTTAATATTATTACCAATTCCTCTTTTAATTGTATTATCATCACACTTGAGAAACAGCCTTATCGTGGCTGTAGAACGGAACATGTAACTTAATTCCTGCATTTAAGGACGATGAATAGCGTAGTCAATGCTTTAGTGACAAGGAGGAAATGATTTGTTTAAATATTAGATATGACGTTATCTGTCACTTCAGTGAAAATTAAGCTTATCCATTGCATTTGTTCAATAGGTTTGTGTCTTACCCTTACGCGTGTGATACATATGAATATGGCATATGAAAAACTCATGAAAAACTCATCCAAAATAAAAAGGACCTACTCAAACTGATACAGTATAAGGACTGTGATATCCAGCAATTTCTTAAGTATAACAATAAGATTATGACCTGTTTTTTAAAAGAAGATAAAAAGTAGTTTGCATGTAAAGAAGTCTGTAAGCCATGCATGTAACTTTACATCTGTTTGTTCAAAGTCTCCTCAAGGTGATCCAGACAGGCTGGACTAGAGGAGGAGAGACAGATCTGGACTCCTAGCAGCAGAGAACTTCAGCACGGATTCCAAGGTACACCTTTTTCATACTTTACAAAGAATGCATAAAGTAATGACTCCAATACACTGATATACATGCCATTAAACATGACTGAATACTAGATCACCTACACATCAGTGATGTTGAGTGTACTTTCTTAGCAAAAGGTTACATTTTACCAAGCAACATAACTTTTTTGTTCAACTTTCACATTTCAATGTATTTAAGGAAAATATTATTGAACATAGTGAGAGCTGCGACCCTTTGTCTCTGCATACTGACTGTAAAAACATGTGATTCTTTCAGTGAGACAACCAGACAGAGCAAGCTTCTACAGTTGCACTAAGTTTTGATAACAGTTAAATATTATTTTAATAATACATTTATTTCAATGTTGATGAATTTAGAACGGTTTATTCATAATCTGATTATCTTTGTAGTACACTGTTGGATTTAAAAAACATATTCAAATAAAAAAAAATCATTATATTTATAGCCCCTGAACAAACACACCTCTTTCTTAAATAACACACTTGCTCTGCAATAATATGTTATGATATTTCTGTTAGGAAAGGACAGGCCTGAGAGACAGGACTGCTTCACCATTTTCTCTTTCTCTGAGGGTCCAGAAGAACATCCAAGAGGGAAAGGAAAAGCTGATGTGATGAGATTTAAGAGCAGTACAGGACATTCATTAAGAGACACTTAGGCCCCTTCTCATTTCACTAATTCCCCTCCTCAAGACTTAGTCCCGCCCACAGGAGATGCGAGCGGAGGAGCCAAGGAGGGGAACCGAGGAGAGAGGAGGGGAAGCAGCAGGCAGTTAGAGAAATGAGAACTCCTCTACGTCCATTAATGATGACAGGAGGCACAGCAGCCCTCTGTCTGATGGACAGATGTGTTCATGACCACTTATATATTTACTTTGATTCATTCACAGTGTGGTATAATGAGACAATAACAGGCTACAGATGTGGACACACACACACACATATATATAGCCTATGTATATTATATAAATATATACAATTTCAGAATCAAACAGAGCACTCTCATAATAACGTAACACTATCAGAGACTGGTTATACCCAAATAAATGGTGCCAATCTTCAGTCAGATATGAATGTGCAATTTCACATTTTCAGTAAGAATAACGGACAAAAGGAGTGCAAATACAAATACAATTTATTGAAATGTGAACTAAAAGTTATCAAGCATGAACCATCACAATTTTTTTTAAATAAAAACGAAATAATATACATAAGTTAAACTAAATGTTAATCTGTTAATTGACAGGCTAGGCCTGTGCAGGTGGTAACAGCTATGCCCAGCATGGGCTAAGTTCTGTAGGTACAGCTGGTGCAGATCCTCCTCCCTCAGGCCTGGTCCTCCTCCCTCAGGCCTGGTCCTCCTCCCTCAGTCCTGGTCCTCCTCCCTCAGTCCTGGTCCTCCTCCCTCAGGCCAGGTCCTCCTCCCTCAGGCCAGGTCCTCCTCCCTCAGGCCTGGTCCTCCTCCCTCAGGCCTGGTCCTCCTCGCAGGAAAAGACCCTCGGTCCTCTCTGGCCAAAGCAACAGACAGGACGTTCATAAAGCTGAGGTCTCCCCCAAAGTCTCTAATCATCCTTCCTGTGAATATGAGAGGGGAAAAATAGTGTAATAGATGCTTTGGACAATAAGAAATATAAAGTTAACTGTTGAGTTGCTCAGTTTTTTAGATTGACAGGGTTTAATAATACAAACAAAAGGAGAGGCACCGTAAAATAAAGATTGGGCTTTCAATAAATTGTGTTGATTTTGTCTTTTTAATTGTTTGTCTAAAGTCAAGTAGCTAGAACTGTTACTTATAGTTTGAATGATACAGTCTGGTTATAATGTTTGGAGGAGGCATCACAGGTAAGAGCACCATTTGTTGTGTTCCATCCACAACAAATGCACACAGATTGATGTGTGCGTATTTATCTATCTACTATTTCTTGAATCATTACTGTCAGTCCAAAACAAGAGATTTTGTTTTAGTAAACATTTTTTTAAAACATTATCTCTTTTCCACTACACTATCTTGAATATTTTAGTTTTTACATCACTACATTTATCTAACAGCTTTAACATTGTAAAGGTGTCACTTCGGACTCTGGGTAATTATGACAGTGTCCTACTATTTTGAGAGTTTGAACAAACCAGACCTTCATCTATTAATGTAGAAAATAGTCAGCACATTAAACCATTATGAAAGCAATCATTAGTTAGCTCATTGTTCAAAATGAGCTCCAACTACAACAGTTAAGTCAACTCTTGCATCGTTAATAACAATACAACAAATGATATAATATAACTTGTGTCTACTTTAAATACTTTAACAACACTTTCCTAATTATACTAACATACTTTTACTAAAGTAACATTAACATGTTTAAATGCAGGGCTTTTGTAAGAGAGTATTTCGCATAGTGTAGCATGGTCTACTTGACTTATCTAACCGAAGTGATCGTTACGTTACTTTGCAAACCGTCAAACCCCCACCCCCCCCCCCCCGCCCACACACACACACACACAAAAGGACACGGTAACATTGTGATTCACTTCAATTAATGATAACTACGGAGCTTGCTAACAGCAAGGCACAAGGCTACTTCACTCATTTAGCTAGCTAATGTAAGATACAAATGCTGTCGAGCCCTCACTGCTTGTAAAATAAAGAGCACAAACTGACTACTTACCGAGCCCCGCTGTTCTCCGTCATTTTTCTCCCGGGTTGTTGTGATCACATGACTGACAAAGCCGTGCTCTGATAGGCCAGAAGTCGGATTGCATTAGGGCTCGATTGCTTATCCTATCTGAGTAGCCCGGATGATGCTGCATCGCAATTTTGGACATCGAATTTTATACACCGAATTTTTTGACGTCGAATTTTTTTCACTTGAATTTTTGGGATCTGAATTTGAACATTCGAATTTTTTTCACTTTCATTTTTACATTTTTATTTCACATAGGTACATTCGGAGCAAAAACATTCAGATACTGTACATCATTTTCAAAGTAATTATTTTCAATGCTATAAATTCGGTGTCTAATCAAATTAAAATACTTCTGTCTCTTGTTTGCTTCCATACTTGTACCTTTGATACCCCGCCTCCGCCTCCCGTCTCTCGGCACTACAGTAGTACGTTTTTGTTGTATCTTTTTGTATATTCATATTTGGTGTGAATACTCATCTTTATTTTTTTAATGATACATTTTTCTATTGAGCTTGATTGAATGACTTAAGAAGCCAGAATTTAACAGAGTTACACACAACTAATATTAAAGTAAACTGAAAATACGAACGCAACATGCTAACCAAGCTAGCAAGCTAGAGCTAGTGTTAGCTGGAAACTTAGCATTTGGTATGCCAATCGACTGTCCTGACCGGGAAATAATACTACATTTAATTGATATAGTGCTTTCGTAAGTACTCTTGGACCCTTAATAATAATGAATAAATTATAAATAAATACTTTAAGAAGCATACAAGAAAACATACATACAAAATGAGACGAGAACACACTAAAAGAAAACAATGGACGCAATGAAAGTAAGAAAACAGATCAGTTGTTTAGAGCGCTGTCGTGATGATTCATAGTCAGTGAAAAGTCTTTCCTGTATGACTTACTGTGGTTACTGGCTGATTTCACTGCACACCCCCACATCTTAAAATTCAGTTCATGTTTTAAACTCCTCATGGATCAGTGCTCAATTGTCCCATAGTTGATTTCTGAATCCACAGTAATGGTGTAGTTGTCTTGCCCATACTTACACATATTACGCTGATTCCAACCACTGTTATTCCAATGAGAGCACAAAGCCATCTGTAAGGAGAGAAGAGACAGTCAGTATTCTCTAAAACACTTCAATAATATGTTCCAATACTTTCAGAATTATGCCAGCTTTCCCTAACCAATAACAACAATACTTCAAATATATATGTCACATACATTGCAATGCTTAATATCTGGGAATGAACAAGGTTCATCCAAAAGCAATGTGTTTCTGTTATTTTGGAAGGTTGTTATTTTTGGCAGTCCCTGAAGAGGAAACATGTTTCTAATGGGTGTAATGTGAGGTGGTGTAATATTTTCCTGAAAAGAAGGAAATACCAATAAGGTGATAATGAAACAGGAAATCCTTATCATGACTTATCTGGAAACCTTGATAAAACAGTCTCCCTTTTGTTTCAGGCAATAGGCCACAATTCAAGCAAATTCAACTGTTATAATATCTTATATGGACACACATATGGAACATATTGTGTACGAACCACCGGTTAGCTTTGCCCATAAGGGCGGAAGTTTTTATTTATTTATTTCATAGTCTTTAAATGTTCTTAATGTAGCTATTAATATATTCTCACAAGACTATGTTATATATATATAAGTCCCTCAATGCTGTATGTTCCTGTATCATAAAAGCCTCAATAAAGCCAACCTCTCAAACACCAAAAAACTGAAAAGTAAATATATACAGAGAGAACAGATAAGGATCATGTATCTCCCTACCTCCCCATCTTGAGCGCCAAGATGCCGAAGATGTAGGTTCCAATAAGGTAGGAGACGGATGCTGGTAAGAAAGCGACGCCTGGGTCAACACACACACACACACACACACACACACACACACACACACACACACACACACACACACACACACACACACACACACACACACACACACACACACACACACACACACACACACACACACACACACACACACACACACACACACACACACACACACACAGACTGAAGGTGTGATAAGCAGATCTCTATCAGCACAGCTTCCATTGTCTGTAATGAAGACTTGTGCCTTCCACCTGCCAGCACATGACACCCTAATATCCTGTTCCCCACCCATACTCTTTATCTGACCTAGACTTCATATACAGCGCACTGGAACAAACTAATAACACCAAAGACTGCAGGAAGCCTCGCTATAGAAAATATCTAGCGTGGTAGAGGAGTGCTACGTCAAGTCACTAAGTAAGGTCGAATTACTGCTTTGTGGTTATATGGCTCCGCTAACCACAACAACCTTTAGTACATTAAACAACAGACAGGTTTGTTTTATTTTCCATGCACCTCTCTAGTATTAAGCCACAGATCAGATATATTGGAGCGCTCAGCAAATAAATATTGTAGTTGGATGTTAACGTAAACACTTTTTACAATTTGATACTTGTAGAGGTCGAATACTGGATGTTTTCTGGTGCAGTTCTGGAGAAAAGCCACATTGTTGTTTTCCCATTGGTTATTGTTAACATGTCATGGCTCATTTTGACCTTTCTTCTTGAATCGAGTGTTGACTTTGCAAGGAAAAGGTTACAGTTAGTTACTACAAATACATTTTATTTTACAGTACAAAGCATGTGATGGGGTTTTCTTACATAATGTTCACGATGATGCTTTACTTAAATGCTTTCTGTTCGAGTTGTAAAATAAATGGAATTCAGGGGTTGTCTACAAAAAATAAAATGAAAACTATGACAAATATGGTTGTCAGTATTGTTAAGTAAATATAATGTTGTAATAGAGGCGAAACAATGTAAAACACTTTATTGTTGGTTATTTAAAATTCAGTTTCCCTGGGCACTGTCAAAGAGCTTCAGATAATTATCAGGATTTAACATTAAGGTCATACTGGTGGCTGGCGCTGCCCTGCTTTATAATCAGAGGTGTTTCTAAGAATCTGACCCCCTCTTCTATGTAGATGGAAAGAAACATGTGAAACACAGTGTACAGTAGTCTTGTAAAACATCGCCTGTAACGAAGACTACAACAATAACTGAAGAAAGTGTGTGTGGGTCCTCCTACTCGTTTTTGTGCGTAGAGTGTATTTTACTACTGAACTGAGCTTTTAAATACCTAGCTGCCATTTCTTGGAACACATGGTCTCCATCATCCAGATCGGCAGGGTCGGCTCCATCATGGCAATGGCCATATTTCCAAAGCAAATGGCACCTGGGGAGGAAGATTACGGATAAGTGGAAGCAGTGTCAATTATGGTCTGTCTTTGGTCCTTATTTGTTACCTCTTTAGCCGCCTGGATGACGGTATACACACATACAAACACAGCCTCTTTGTTCCTGTGCTGTCACTCTGTAACGGAGGTGATCTCTGGGCCCATAGATCTCGGCCTCCGTTACGGGTAATATAGCACTAAAAACATTGCACAGGAAGCAGGGGAATATATGTAATTTATGTAAGTTTGTCTGTCTCTGTTTCCTGGTTTCATGTTAAAAGTGTTCCCCTTCCCCCATGTCTGTTGATTGTGTGCACCTGGTGCCCTGTGTTGTCTCCTCCCCCCCCCTGTGTCGAATTGCTGATTAGTGTGTGTATTTAGGGTCTGTAGCCCTGTCTGTTTTGAGGCTGGTAGTGTGGGTGAGATCCTTGTGGCTGCTGACTGTGTTCAGGGAACAGCAATTGAGGCTGTGAATCATGTGCTTATGATTTGAATAAATGCCCACACCGGGTTGTATTTTTGTACGTTCTGCCTCTGTCTCCTTGCTTGGTCGGGCCGCTCAATTGTCAGCTTCACAATTGGTGTCAGAAGTGGGATTGACCAAGTGAGGAGGTGAGAGTGATGGAGGAACTGCGGGAGATGATGAGGTCACTCCTGCAGCTTCAGGCAGCCGGTGAGCAGCAGTTCGCACGGGAAGAGGAACGGAGTCTCCGGAGGCAGGACGGCAGATTGCCTGGAGGCTCGACGGGTGCTGGCTCTGCCACTGAGGCATCAGAGATCCTGGCGGAGAACCAGAGATTGGTGCAAGAGCAGAAAGAGGAGCAGCTCTGGTTACAGAGGGAAGAAGAGAGGAAGGCAGAAGCATTGAGAACGGTTGGAAAGATGGCGGCGCACACTCAGAAGAATAACAAGCCAAGGAAACCTGGAGGAAAGGAGTCGCAGCTTTTGATAATTGCCAAAACTCCGGAGTTCGTCCGGGAGGTGATGGGTTCCAGCGCCGGTGCAGGCAGCGGGGAGTTCCACGTTTACCGGCACCTCCGACGCAGGAAGAAGCGGGAAAAACTGAAGCGCAAAATGCGGATGGCAAAGATAGCCGAGAAGGTCCGTCAGGAGAGAGAGCGCGTCAGACCGCAGAACCAGCAGGAGCGCATGGAGAGGAAGAAAGGGAAGCTTCTTTTCGACTTCATGGCCCCCCCTGAGGAAGCCAAGATTCCTAAGACATTGTATTTCCTGGGGAGAGGGGTAAGGAAATGTAACGGAGGTGATCTCTGGGCCCATAGATCTCGGCCTCCGTTACGGGTAATATAGCACTAAAAACATTGCACAGGAATATAAACTTACAAACTTACAATGTAATTTATGTAAGTTTGTCTGTCTCTGTTTCCTGGTTTCATGTTAAAAGTGTTCCCCTTCCCCCATGTCTGTGGCTGTTGATTGTGTGCACCTGGTGCCTTGTGTTGTCTCCTCCCCCCCCACCTGTGTCGAATTGCTGATTAGTGTGTGTATTTAGGGTCTGTTGCCCTGTCTGTTTTGAGGCTGGTAGTGTGGGTGAGATCCTTGTGGCTGCTGACTGTGTTCAGGGGAACAGCAATTGAGGCTGTGAATCATGTGCTTATGATTTGAATAAATGCCCACACCGGGTTGTATTTTTGGACGTTCTGCCTCTGTCTCCTTGCTTGGTCGGGCCGCTCAATTGTCAGCTTCACACACTCCTTAACCTGAAGGGAAAGTACTGCTGATCTGAGATTTCAGATAGCATTGTTGAACGTCTTGGATGTGAGACTTTGCAGGAAGGGTTTGTAATTTTGATCTGCTGTTTGTTTTTTGTGTGATATGTCATAGTCATGGACTCCCTTTGACAAAAAGCGGACAAAGTTTTCTCCATTACCTGGATATCAGAACACTTAGAACAAATATTGATTATCAACTTTAGTTATTTCATCAGATCTGCGATCATATGTCTTGCACAGCATTCTGACTCCAGGCTGCTGGACAGATGTTCAACTCACATCGAGCCAAGGTGAATCGGGATAAGCTGGAAAAGGCCCCTGATGTAAGGTGTCCCCTGATATTCTTTGGGAAAGGCAGGGAACACAAGGTGGCCGTCACTATCCCCAGAGAAGGCTGGGTACACGCACTGAAAAAACTCAACCTTTGACTTTAATTGTATTATGACGAGAGATTTTTTGTTTTACTTCAACTTTATATCATTGCTTTCAACTAACCTAATACAGTTGACATTTGTTGACATAATACTTTTGAATAAAGCCAACGTTTCAGTTTTTTCAACATTGGATACTGATTGTGACATGTCACACTGAGATGCTCTCCATGTTGTAACAACCACAACCTGTGGTGTGATGGACAGAATGTTAAACAACATTTCTAGGGAAGCGATGGGTTTGGTGACCCTAGGATGTTTTTTGAGCAAGTTCTATATTTTGGTCCAATCAGGACTTGATGTGGTAAACAATTTAACCGACTTTAGTACAAGAAGCCTTGGGCAGGTTTATATACAGCTCTCTGGAAGCATTGTAGGTCCAGTGCCTTGCTCGAGGACACTTGGCATTACTTCGATGTTCCGGGACTTAAACCAGCGGCTCGCAAGGTCCCTATAGATTTAGTCATTAGCTGCGTTCACACCGCATTACTTTTCCCACTTTAATTCCGATATAGTTCCGAAATGTCGCGTTCACACCAAAAAGAGCCGGAACTAAAATTAGTTAATCAGAAGCTTTTTTACCCCCTTTTCCGTCCCTGCTAGAGAGCAGGGACTTTTGTGGGAGAAAAAGGTTTCTATGTCTGATTGGCTGGGCGGAATGCAAACCACGCCCCGTAAAACTCCCAAAAAGTTTTGTGAAGCCGCCATTTTATTATCCTCGCATTGCATTACGGCCCCTACACACGGCGGCGTGCGTTGCCGCTTCAACGCTTCTGCCCATTCACTTTGAATGGGGTGATGTCACGATTCGCCGAACTGCATTGTGGGAGCAAAGCGTAGCTTCTCTCGCGGTGCTCGCTGCAAAAGTAGAGCAATGTTCTACTTTTGCCGCCTCGACGGAGGCGTCAGCCAATCAAATCCCGCATATGCAAATCTGACAGTACAAGCGCTAGCCAATCAAACTGTGTGTATGTTGGGAGAGCCAGACCGCAGTTATTTCCCATATGTCAAAAAATGGAGGAGAAAATGATCGTGGCGATAGGGAATCACCCGGTACTATATGACCAGTCCCTCTTTACATACAGGGATACAAACCGGAGGATCCAGGCATGGGGGGAGGTGGCAGAGACAGTGGGTGAAACTGGTAGGTTTTCACCTGTTTGGGGAGTTTATATCCAGTGTACTTCGTTTGAATGAACAGCTAGCCAGCATAGACAGTATATTTAGCTAGCATGGATGTAGCATGAATGCTTTGCTTTGTATGTCCGGGGCGGGACATTCATGTGATTGGTTGTTGGTCGCGTTGCTCGCGTTGACTCCCCAAGCTCAAGACACGCCCACCGCCAAGCGGCAACGCACGCCGCCGTGTGTAGGCTCCGTTATTAGCATTAGCATTAGTTCAGCGCAGAAACGCAGAGAGACTAACTTATGGCAACACAAAAGAAAACATGGGAGCGGCGGAGTGATGAGGAGGTGTCGGCGTTCTGGCGATTTACTCGGAAGGCTTCAGTAGAAGCTGCTGGGATTCCCAGTTCTAATTAACTAAGTACAGATCGCGTTCACACCGGAATAAGTTCCTGGGGACGTCAGCGGCTTCATTTGCCTAATCCTTCCCCAGGAACTTATTCCGGTGTGAACGCGATCTGTACTTAGTTCATGAGAACTAAAGAGTTCTCATGAATTAAGTTCTCATGAACCTTTGTGGGAAACGTACTGCGGTGTGAATGCGCCTATTCCCACCTAAGTCTGACTGAAGTCGAACCAATGTGGACCCTTAGGAACAGGAACAATGTTTTGGTCAGGTGGAAGTATTCTAGACATGTCAAAATGGGACCGGACCCCATGGCAGGTACAGAGCACGCTGGAGGGAATACATATCCTGTCCAGTCAGAGAACTTAGTGGTCCACCAGGAACATGTGTTTGATGAAGGTGAGGGAAAATGGTGTCTGGGCTTAGTTTGCTGTAACAGCAACTGGTAGCAGTGTAAGTGTGAGGCAGAAGCTGGTCTGATTTCTGATCTTTTATATGCAAAACTCAATTCCTGCTCTGGATCCAGCAAATTAATTGTTGGCTTTGTGCTTGGCTGACCAACAAACACAAAAAGGTTCCGGTTACATTTCTCTTCCTGCTTTATCCCCAGCACCATAATAAAAGGCAATATCTTATTGATGATTCAGTGGGGTGAATTAGTGTTCTTCACATCTGCTATTATTTTCTTACCAGCTGCGATTAGGATGTATGGATCTTTCATCAGTGTTAACAGCGAGGTCCCCTTCTGACTCTGTGACAAAGGCAGATAACAACATGCTATATCAAACACAGAATTTATGATATAATTCAGTCGCAAGCATTCTCACTGTTTATAATTATATACATTTAAAGAACCTTTATAAAATGTGTGAGCCTAATGCAGCTTGTTGACATCCAAACAGAACTAACATGTCTTGATGCATGTCTCTGGGGAATCTTGTTAAAATGTCTAGGCAGGAATAGTTTGCTAAAAATTGCACGAGATGTAGAATATTGGAATGGTGAAATAATCTGCAAATAAAACCGATCCTTCTGCTGGCTTTGCCTCCATCAACAGATCTCAGATAATATAAGATCATGTGTCATTTTGAACAGAAGGGAATAAGCAATCTTTATCTCTTTTCTGAAGGAATTATTAATTAGTGTTTAAAAAATATCAATAATTTGTTCACTGAAGACTCGAATGAAAGATTCTTTCATTCTCCTTGAGCCTAATAGCCCCGGACATAGACCTGCTGTCCGTCTGGCTGACCAAAGTCTCAACTCACGCTGAGGAACAGGAATGGAGAAGAAGACAAACTGACATGCAGCTTAAAGCGTTACAAATGGTTGCAAATCAGGATCTCTGTTTTCTGAAATGTTCTACTTATTAATACTGATTTCCTTTATTTTTTCCATATAACCTTCTAATTGGCTGATGCCTGCCTTTTGGAAGCTAACGTCAATGATACCCCAATCCACAGATCAGAGGAAAGAGCTGGTCACATTTCAATTGGTTGGAGAGCTGAAGGTTGGATCCTGACTGTTAAATTGTCCCTGTTTTCTTCAGAGATGTCAGACACTGTGTCTGACTCCATTTACATTTACCAAAAGCCATATGTGTTGATGCACATCATCCACCTTCTTAACATTTCTTAACCCACTTCCTGTATTGACCATACAATGTCATCAAACATCTTTAAAATGATGTGCAGCTGTAAAGGTCATCTTAATGAAGGATGTTAACGTTCAGGAAATGAATGAACAGGGAACACAGACTCACCTCTGGGGCCACCTTGCAGGGCTGTAGAACAAAGAGCTGCAGAGCTGTGAAGACACACAGTGTATCAACTTAATGTAACATTAAACATGTGAAGATATGTTCAACAATGTAAAGCTCACACATTATTATTTCCATCCATTTTGGCATGACTCTTGTTGATTTAAATGTAAGTAACAATGTAAGTGTACCTCCATCAAACAAAGCCAGGCTGGCCAGAATGAGGAAAGGAGCGGTCTTCCCCACAAACTCGTACATCACACTGCCGAAGGGGGGGCCAACTGTGGGGAAACATCAGCTTTATTATCACGTTAGTTACTGCAGCTTTGTTAAGTGTGTCAGGTTAGTTTTGAAAAAGTGTTGAATACATGTTTCAACATTTGATTTGATAGATTAGATATGCATGCCATTTTTTCTTAATCCATTAAATATGTTTTGTTTAATTGCATTCATAAAATGTTATAATATTAAGCCCAAACTTATTTGACTCTCTTACACTCAGTTGTTGACAGATGGTGAATTGAATGAAATGGTGAATTTGATTTGATTGAGTTCATGATTTTATAAAACGGTTTTATTTTTTTTGTGTTCAGAACAAATTGAAATAGCAAAACTATAAAAAGATATGCTATAAAGGGGGATCTCGAGCAGTCTCTCTTTCTGTGATATCTTTACACAATTGGTTCGGACGCCATTGCATGTTCGTAGCATTTGAGTACTTTTGAATGGCTAGCTAATGGGCGCCGCTTGGTTTAAAGAAAAGGCAAGCATGGTCTATGGGCCCAGTGGATGTGGAAAAGAAGATCCAGTTCTCTTCATACGCTCATGTTTGGCACCTAGCATGACAGAATGTTGTTCTGTGTTCTCACGCTCTCTCAGGGTCGAAAGGATAGAAAAGCAATTGACACATTTGACTGTTCACTGGCCCAACCAGACTGGCCCAATCATCTGTGTACATACTTAGCACCCCCATTGCAAGACCCCCCAGGGCGATTCCGATGGCGCGACTTCTCTCCTCATCATCTGTGTACACACTCGCAAGCATTCCCATACCTGAGAACAAACAGAGGTACAGATCCTGCAATAACAACCACTCGTTGAAAAACATGTTGGCTATGTAAAAACGTAGCAGACACAAATAATGTGGTACATATATACTTATATATGTAATAGTGGTAAATGTCATAACGCTAATTACATTAGCTAATTAAAAAACACATGGCTCATTTTGGGATAAACTGGAACTCATGTTGACATGTGTTCGTTTGGGAATTTTAGCCTCTGCTTCTTTTACTCACGATTATGTTTGAGTTCTATTTTTCCATCCTTTCGTTTGAGGATTCTAAACAAATGGCAGTACAGTTTATTATTGGGACTTTTTCATTATCTCTGGATTCAGATGTCAGGTGGTTTCGATAGCTTTCAGGCTGAATACAGGCTGAAGTAATTGGCTATTAGCTAGCATGTCCAATTAGGCTGACGGAGCCTTACAAAGCCAGAGGTATGCCACTGCCTTTAATACCACACACACGTGAAATAAAGGACCTACAGGAGTTTAATAATGGAGGGCAGTGTTGAATTAGGTGTATCATAATTAATACTTCTGTTGCACAATGTCTGTTGCAGAAGTTGTTATGTTGTTTCTGATTTTCGATGGTTGTGGCCTAAATGGATCCTTTAGCTTACCACTTTCACAGTAACGTTTTAAAAGGGAGTTACCATCTTTAAAAAAAAACATATTGTCTTTATACTTTATCTCAATACGGGTACATGTAGGAAAACATACAGTTATCTTTATGCAGCTTTGCTTACTTTGTCCAACATAAGCAACATTTTCAATTCTTCCGTTACACAACAAACAGTCCATATAGGCTTTTGGATGTGTGCTTCATGTTTAGATTACAAACTAAAGTAAGATAGTCCAAAACACCACTTTCTTTAAATACTTGTGTAGCATCATAGAAGGCAACCTGCTCTCTCTACAGGAGGAGGTCAGCACATCCTGTCTAATCTGGCAACATTTAGGCTACAAACAACTTCTAATGCAGCACTCCTTTAAATGCACACGCTCAGGCTGTTACTCAATGTCCTTTGAGAATCTACATTCAGATGAATTGAATGGTGTAAAAGAAAAAAGATCTTACCGGCCACAGAGGAGCAGGAGGAGCCGACACCCTGCAGTGATCGGGCCACAAACAGCAGAGCGTAGCTCGACGAGAAGGCAAACACTACACATCAAAGAGCAAAAATATAGACAAAGAAACATCAGGCAAGAGGAAACATTAGGATTTTCTGATGAAGACGACAGGTGGAATAGGACTTACTGATTGTAGACATGAACATGATACAGAAGCCAGCGAATAAGGGAAGTTGGTATCCTACTCTGAAAGGACCAAGAGAAAAAGGACAGATTATAATTCAAGAGAAAGCATGTCACACACAAACACACATTAACTAAATGGCTTTATTCAAAGATGGTATTCTTCTCAGCATACTATCACTTTCTAAAGTAGAGTTACTTTGCGAGGAAGAGATCTTTTTGTGTGCTTAACGAGTCAAATCTATTGTCAGTCCGAAGACATTTTCGCAATGGCAACCAGCACAGGTATTACGGATGAACATTTGATCCAAATGTTAATAAGGGGTTAAAGTTACAGTTTGTGCAACATGAAGTGAAACCAAATCATAAAATGAAAGTCAAAATAATCAAAAATAAACTGCATAGCACATTGTGTCCTGTAACCCCAGGAACACTGCATCAATTCTGTAGTTGCATGACTCAGTTACGATTGTAGCGGAGCAGGATGACAACGTCTTCTTTCATTAAAATGTTTAAAGCTGCCATGCACATCAGAGCTGTTGTAATCCCCGCAGATACCTGACATGCTTGACTTGCCTTCTATTGTCCTCTGTCAGGATGGAAGGTGACTAAGAACCACTAATGTTCCTCAATTACAGCATATCTGAGCGCCCATCTGAGACACTGAATATTGCTTTGGAGATTAGTGTCACTATTGTTGGAGCATCCATGCTTCTCCATTTCCTGTAAACATTTATCTCACATTCTGCTCAAATCGTCACACCGACTCTGGTTTAAATTAAGCCCAACGTGGAAATGTTAAATTCTCCTCAAAGAATGTTGTTGTTGCTCAACTTGCAGTAAAACACATTTAAACAGGAAAATCTAAGGCCCACACACACACACACACACACACACACACACACACACACACACACACACACACACACACACACACACACACACACACACACACACACACACACACACACACACACACACACACACACACACACACACACACACACACACACACACACACACACACACACACACACACACACACACACACACACACACACACACACACACACACACACACACACACACACACACACACACACACACACACACACACACACACACACACACACACACACACACAGTGCCACCGTGTTTAGAAAGGTGTTGATTGACCAGTGTCACGGCCTATCACACTCTTATGTTGGTTTAAAATAGAGGAACTCAACCATCCATGAAACTGGAAAGTCACACACACATCTTTGGGAACTGCTCTGTATTTCATTCAGTTGGATTAGCTGATATGACGTTACACCCTCAAAACCCATGTGACATTTAACTGACCTGTTTCCCCTCTATAACTGGAACAGGGAGTCTGTTTGCTGCTTTCTCTCTCTCCGATTTGAGTCGGATGTTGAATTAAATAAGTCCACAAGTGTTATTCTGTGTTGACCTCTTGCAGGCTTTACAAACAAAAGAGGACATTTAAAAACAATTCTGCCCCCCGGCTAGCAGGAAGCCTCAGTGTCTGTCATACTGCCATCCTCTGTCCTTCGTCATTCTGCTTTAAATGAAATCATTGTCTTTCCAATGTTTTCTGCCTTTTCTCTTTAACATTTCTTGCACACGCTGAGTTGTGTAAAATGCCACATACGACCATGATTGTTCTGTTCCTCACATGGATTCAAATTAGCTGTAACTGCATAGTGCAATTGACAATTTCAGTGACCAGCAGAAACAAGCCTGATGGGTCAGAGTGACAGCTACACATGGATGGTGCTGTTATAGGGAGAGTAAGAAATGCAACTGAATCTTTAGGTCATAATTCTGCATGCAGTAGGAAACTCTGGCAATATACCTGACATTAACAGAACAATCTATCGAAAAAGGAAAAAAAAACTTGTGGATTCACCGATAATACAGACAAAGGCTGAAAGCACTTATAATGTGTGCTATACATTCCAATTCAGTGCTGTGTCAAACACTATTTAACCTAAAAACCACCCAGTGATCTGTCCTGAAGTGTTTTTAAAATGTAATGACTCAAATTGTAAACTGAATTAAATGCAAGGGATTAAAGTAGCTTTCATTTTAGAGTAAGAATAACAACAATGCATTACTTATGTTCTTTATGTGACAACCACAAGAGTTCAGACGGCTTCTACTCCATTTCTAAGCTGCTAAGTCACCAGTAATGTTCCTGGTTTACTGTGAAATGTGTTAACCAGTTAATTCCCAGTGGTGTAAAGTAACTAAGTAGATTTACTCAAGTACTGTACTGAAGTACAAATGTGAGGTACTTGAGTATTTCAATGTTTTGCTACTCTGTACTTCTACTTTTACTTTTGGTACTTTAAGTATAATAATATGCTAATACTTTTGTGAATTTACTTGAGTAACATTTTGATGCAGTACCTTTAGTTGTAACAGAGTATACATTTGACTGAAGTACAAGAACTGAGTACTTCTCCCACCTGTATGAATCCCCCCAGTTGAGTGTTCCCTCCCCCATACAGACACAGAGGGGCCTACCTGTTGGTGAGGGGCCCGATGAAGGGGTTGACCAGTAGCTGCACGGTGGCCTTGGAGGCAAACAGCAGTCCCACTTTCACATTCTCATTGAGCAGCGTGCTGCTGGACTGGGGGCATTCGGAGGAGTTCTGTGGCAGCTCTGGAGCAGGGGGGGGGTCCGTAGAGCTGACTGTGGTGTTGGGGCCCGCGGTCCTCACCGTGTTGTCATATAAGGACACGATGCTGTGGAAGGCCCCCGCTGGAGCCTGCTGTGTCAGGGTGTGGTTCTTCAATGCCATCTCTGCCGACTCATCCAGGCTGTACAGGTAGCTGGGGATTATGGGAACTGGTGGGCATAAAGAGTTGAGAAGAGAGGGATGTGAGGAAACACGACAGAACCACTGACTGATGCTCCGTAGCACAATAGAAAACCAGGGGCCATTTCAACATTTCAGCAGAGCAGGAAGGGTGCTCCACACCTTGAATCCACAGTTTCTTTAACCACTGAGGGGTTTGTTCACCTAACATTACAAAGTCCACATTTCTACATTTCAACGAATCGAAAAATATGTGCCTGTTGCAGAAAACTTGATTGTGTGGAAATGTATAGAATATAACATACATTACATTGCATTACATACATCTTTCTTAAAAGTGCTAGGAAAATGTTGAAGCCACTGGTAACAGACAATAGGATGAGGACACATGACATGATATTTGTAGAGTGATTCGCTGAGAGGAAGAAGACCTGGGGCCTCATTTATAAACGGTGCGTATGCTCAAAAGATGGCGTACGCCAGTTTCTAAGCAATGTTTGCGATTTATAAAATACTAACTTGACGGGAAAACGTGCGGTCCTCCACGCAAACTCTGACCCATGCGTACACACTAAGCACAACAACGGGAGAGACGAGAAACTGCGACACCGTTGGCAGAAGGAAGAATGGAGAGAAATGTGTGGAAATAATACCATCAATAAAATGTTACCTCTCATTTATCATATATGAAGAATTCATTTTCAAACATTGATTAAAGCCAATCTTAAAATGATTAAACAAACGCCTGTTTGAGACTCCTCAGTGCACACAAAAACATAACTTGGAGAAATAAATAAATACGGATATGTTATTTAAAACCACCTCGAATATGTTGTGTTAATGTTATGAAATGTTTTCTCATAAATGATGCGGTAAGCAGGAGGACAGAATTACGTCTAAACTGACACCGTTTTGCATTTCTATAGGTTGTAGATACGAGCATGGTTTTATACTATCATGTTTAATCGTGTTTTATGCCGTTTGCTAAGACTTGATAAGTCGCTCATAAAACACAGGAGGTATGGAAACTAAGAACACCATATATTTGGTAGATTTGGCAGCTGATATAACTCAACACATTAGTTTTATTTCCTTTAACTGGGGGATATAGAGTTGCTGCAGTGGAGACGCTGCGCACAGCTGATCGACAGATGGAACACAAACCACCAAATAAAAACATAAACATTATGTTCCCATCAGCAAAAACATGTGGGTTTGCTATCCTGGCTCCAAAATGGTGGAATGAGCTCCCCATTGACATCAGGACAGCAGATAGCTTACACACCTTCCGGCGCAGACTGAAAACTCATCTCTTTCGACTCCACTTCGAGCAATAGAACTATTAACAAAGCACTTATATACTAATAAAGGACTGGCTTATCTAAAGCCAGTTGAGTAGCACTTGAAATGTTTGGCTCTATGAAACCTGATGTACTTATATGATTCTGTTTTCTTCAAGGTTGTATTTTGTTGGTCGAACTCACTTATTGTAAGTCGCTTTGGATAAAAGCGTCTGCTAAATGTAATGTAATTAATTGACTCCACTCCGCAGGGATCGCCCTGCTAGTGGAGCCTCGCAGCGGCGAAACCGTGCCGCGCCACACTAATTGCGCCGCATAAGCGCATGGTGCGCCGCATTTTCGGCTCAGTTGAAGCACCCACCGCAAGGTGAGGCCCCACGCAGTCTGCATGATCGGCCTGTAGGGAGGGACAGCCCTGTGTGTATTTTGTAATTCACTTTTTTCGGACCACTTATTTATTTATTTTGGTGACGATCCGACCTCCATGCTGCTACTCTGGTTCAAACTGCATCCACCAAACAATGTCATTTGTCTCCACCTCCCCAAAAGAACCAAAATCTGACACGGTGTGAAATGTCTTTTTTAGCTGTTCTGTCGTCATTTCCTGCGATCTTCTTCATGCAGTCAGTCAAAAATGAATATTAATGCGGGGCGTTTCTTTGACTATTTATAGGCAAATATGCGTTACGTGAAGCCCACAAAAGCTGCGCCGCATTTCGAGTTGACTGTGATTTATAAAGGGAAACCGGCGTAGGATGTGCCGTACGCAAGTCCTGTGCCGGTACGCAGTGTTTTATGAATCGGAAAATGTCTGTGCGTATTTATTTGCTTTGTCCTATGCAAGCAACCTTCCCACGTGAATCCTACGCAAGGCTTTATAAATGAGGCCCCTGGTATGGAAAAACAATCTCTATAAAATATAGAATATAATTTAAAATTCTTCTCCTAGCCTACAAAGCACTTAATGGTCGGCACCATATTATCTTAAAGTACAATTCGGATTTAAGTCCCATGGTCTTTGTGTTACTAGCAGAGTGATCTGCTTTCTTCAGGATTGTTTCTTAAGAGTTGTTCCTGTAGACAGGGATGGTTCTTTCACAAAGCTGTGTTCTAGTTGCAAATGGTTTGAGGTGTGTACGACAGAGATATGATGTATTATAAAGACTGTGACTAAGCAAAGACTTAGTAGAATGCCGAGAATATGTAACACAACGGACAACATTTTGTCTTTAGTGAAACAACTGTTGATGCTGTTCACAGACTTTAGAGCCCAGCCCATTCATACCTTTGTTTGTAGCCTTTATTTAACCAGGTGAAGCCCCTTGAGATCAAAAGATCTCTTTTTCAAGGGTGACCTGCAAAATAAATAAATAAACCTATAATTCTAAAATGATAGAATGTGTTGATAAAACATAACCTGTAGGCAGATAATGACATGTGTTTGTTAAGGCAGCGTTTAAAACCTAACCCAAATTGCACAATCATTGCAATATTAAAAATCATAATAATAATAATGATCTGGTTTCATTGTCTCGTGTATTACATTTGTTTCATGTCCTGTCTGTTTTTATGTATTTATGCTATGTTTTTATACAGTTGTTGATGTACAGCACTTTGTTCAACTCTGTTGTTTTTAAATGTGCTATATAAATAAAATGGATTGGATTGGATAACCTTAACTCTGTAAAGCCCAAATATAGATAAACATTAGCACGGTTTTTTTACCTTTCAGATGTTGTTGTAGGGAGCCTCTGGTGCAGATATGAAAGAGTTTTCACATTTTCTACATTTTGTTAAGTTTTTAGGGAAATGTTGTAATATTGCAACGTTGGGATTAGGTGGGAGCAGAATTTCTGTATTTCTACTCACATTGTCTGAATAAATATATTGAACAACTAAGGGTTAATTTGCAGGATTTATTGCTTACTTAGCCCTATATCAGTAGCATGAATAATAATCACACATCAGTCATATTTTTTATGAATAGTCATTTATTAAATAGTAATACAATGGTAGTCCCAAAAACAGTTCCTGTCGTCGGAAAAGCACAGACGGACGTCACACTTGCTGCATTGCGTGTTTGTTTACCCTTTACGGTAAAAACGATAGACGCCGGAGGCGGGCGCGTGAGGCTCAGGTTTGGGAAGGCTAAACAACTTTTTCAACCTGACGCTGCCCGCCTCCTGCGTCTATCGTTTTTCCAACCCAGTTTAGATTTAACCACGCCTACTTCCTTATTACACAAGCATCGACGTAGCTCTATACGCGACGTCATCTTCGGCAGCCTGTGTAGTAACCATTAGTGATGGGATTTCCGGCTCTTCTTGGTGAGCCGGATCATTTGGCTCCCAAACGGTTCAGTTTACCACATATTATACCTTTTATAATTAAATCAAATGTAGCCCTGTTTTGACTAATGAATGATTTATGTGTACACATATATCACTTAAATTATTCAATACATCCTTTGTACTGAAGTATTCAAAAGTAAAAATTACATGTTTAATATAAATGATTTGCTGTGGCCAAATGTTTTCATTGCATTTACAGACCCTTTTAGCTCTCTGATACCACCCAATGAATGCACTGACTTGCTTGTAGAACCACACTACACAAAGCAGATAGCAAAATTATATTTAAAGAAAAGGCCCTGACAAAACAGCAGGGCTCTAGTTCAGTATTAACTATAGAAAAAAAGACAGCAGCAGCTGACATCAAATCTTTGCTGAGCCTAAGGATAATCATAAATAAATAACATAGTGAAAATAAATATATTGCAATGCTCAAAACGGCAGCATCCAACCGCCTCTAATCATAAAAAAACATAATAAAAATAAAAGTATTGCAATGCTCAAAACAGCAGCATCCAACAGTCTCTAATCCATGTCACTGCATGCATGCACAGAGCAGCTGTAGCGCGGAGATCATCATATCATTCTGTCAAACAAAAAAAATGGCTCGTTTGCGGGCGCGAGCCGGCTCCCGTCGTTCACTTAAAAGAGCCGGCTCTTTGCTCTTCGCGACCGACACATCACTAGTAACCATGCTTAACAAACAAAAAACTCCCGGCTTGCCTCCCACACTGCCCGGCTTACTAGATATTACCTTATCTGACTACCGGTTGTATTAAAGGTCCCATGTTATGGCCATTTCTACTGATCATGATTCCATTGTTGAGGTCTACTAGAATACATTTATATTGTTCAATGTTCCAAACTCACATTGGTTTCTCATACAACATCTCTGTATAGTATGTGTATTCCTAAACGGCTTGATGGAGCTCCTACCACTGCCTACTTTCCACATTCACCAACTCAGCAACCCGGCACCCTGGAAGCAATTAAAGAGCAGGAAAACGCTGGAAAAAATATGTGAAAACAGGAACAAAACCACCTTAAGGTAATGCTCTCGACAAAGCATCAGCCATCACATTTTCGTAACCTTTGAGATGTTGGATGTCCAAATGGAAAGGCTGTAGAAATAGAGACCATCTCATTAACTGCTGGTTTGGGTTCTGCAAAGACTGTAGAAAGGTCAGGGGATTGTGATCTGTGTATATCACTATTGGCCTATAACCACTCCCTATATACACTTCGAAGTGCTGCAATGCCCAGATCAATGCCAGTGCCTCCTTCTCTACAATCGAGTAGTTCAACTGGTAGGAGTTAAACTTGCGTGAGAAGTAACTGACCGGGAGCTCCATACCAGAGGCATCTTGCTGTAATAAC